CATGTTCTGAAATTAAAACATTGTACAAGGCCTTTTTTCATTACCAGAAGTGCAATTATCTGAGAGTGACAATTGCTGTTTTGGCTGCATTCCCTGTCTGCTGGAGAGGGAACTCCCTTGAAAGGATATATGGTGAAACAGGTGGAAAAGAAGACATGAAAATTGTATGTGGATATATCTCTGGAGAAGTTGGGTGGCATGATTCACATTTGCTTCCTGAAGATGTTTAAAAAATTTCGGAAAATATTATGATAAAGCAGAGATAAGTGTTCTCCAGCTATACTAATGACTGCTCCAGTAAAGTCTAGCATACAGAGTGTGAAATGCAGGAGTGCACCACCTTAATCAAGTTAAATTCAGTGTTTTGTTGAGTTTCTGAGGCTTTAAAGAACAGGATGGAAAAATCATTAAAAAAAAAACCATCCACTGCCTGGCCCTGAACACCTGATGATATTACTTACTGGCTCAGATGCTAAGGGTCATGTTCAGACCACATAAAATACAACTTAAAATTATGAACAGAAAAAATAAATTAATGGAGATAGAATCTCATAAAAAGGAGAAGGAAAAAGTGTGGGATCTGTGACAAAGTTTAAAATATTTGAAAAACAATGTTTTCCTAGTTTAGTGCTAAGAAACAATGGTAAGAAGCACCCAAATCCAGAAAACATACATATTTCTGAATTTTACTTCATCAGTGAATTATCTTAAACTCACCCTTGCTGTGAACATTGCTGCCATCCTTACCATATATACACACCCTAAATACTTTGTCTTCCTCTATTAAATAACACAAATACTGCTTTTGTTTTTCATAGATTCATAGAATCATTTAGGTTGGAAAAGACCTTTAAGATAGAGTCTAAGCCTTATCAATATTTGCTACCCATTTTTTTCACAAAACAAAATAATCACCATCATTCAGCAAAACCCATGGTAACAATGGGAGTACAAGTCCTGTGGATTGGGAAGCTACAAATGGCAGAATGGAAGAACTGGATCACATCCATCTTAACTGATGTTTACACTTTATTAAACCACAATTTAACTAAAGCAGAGCCAGTGTTTAAACTTTGGAGAGGAACACACACCAGTGCACTTTTCTAGCACATCTCTGTCCCTGGAGGTATTTAAGAAGAGACTGGATATGGCACTCAGTGCCATAGTCTAGTAACTGTGGTGGTAGTTCATCAAGGGTTGGACTTGATGATCTCAGAGGTCCTTTCCAACCCATCTGATTCTATGATTCTATAATCTGTTATGTATTTCCCATCTTCCTTTTAAAACAACTGCACACAAACGTGCTAAATGTGACTGCAATACAACCAACATTCTGACTGATAACAAAGGTCAGAGGCATTGGAGAAAATGAAAAGTTTTTTTTTCAACTTACAATTATGAAGTATACAGATGACTTTCAGGAGATAAGGATACTTCCCCCACTATCTTCTGAATTAATCTGAATATCAAAAAAAGTACCCAAAAGGCCTTTTTTATTGTATGAATGTATAACTCAGGAAGAAAAGTGAATCATTTGTAGCAGCAAGACATCAGCTGTCTTGTTTGTTAACGAAAATAATTAAATTTACATCAAGCCGCAGCTACTCTGCTCCAAATGTATTTCATGTGGGTTTGAGAATGTTTCAAGGGATTTACTGCTTTATTACCTGTTTGTCCCTTTTTAATGAGTATAAGATTATGGGGTTTAAAAAGAGATAATAATTCAGCAAAGCTATAAGTTCTCTTATAAAGACTTAATCAGGAGCACAACACCTCTTTTTGAACAAAAGCAGCTTCTCAATTTCTTTCTCCTGGAAGGAGCTCACTTCTCCAATTTAACTTGTTTTGTTACTGTTTTTTTACTAAATCCCTAATCCTCCTAACCAAATTTTATTTCCACAGTCTGTTATGATAGAAGTTTCAAAATTATGAAAATAAGACACATTCTAGGCAGGTGGAAAGAAGATAAACACTTTTCAGATGAATTTACTCTTCCATAAAAAAAAAAAAAGTACATCACTCTGGGTGAATAATATTAATCTCAGACATATGTTAGGTAATTACTCTACCTTAGAAATAATAGCATGGAGTTTATCCTAGGTCTGCTGCTCAGGATCACAAAGGAGTTTGTACAGCTCTCCCTGACACAAATTTCCATGGTTTTGCTATGATTGGTATCTGAATTAGTAAAATTTAAAACTTGTTCAGGAATGTCTCTGCATGCTGCAGTGCCTACAGTTGAAGTTCTGTCATGCTCTTTCTAACTGCAAGATGAGATCTTTCTACATAAAGCTACAGAAATGATGAAGACTGCACTCCACACATGCATAATCCACCCCAAGAAAACAAAAACAAAAACAAACAAACAAACAAAAACCCACAACAACAGAAAACCCTAAACCGAATAACTGCAATTAAATAAATATTGGAATGGAAACTAAACAGTGAGATAACAAAGCTGTTCTCTTAACTGTCTCTCAGAAGAAAACTGAGGAACAGATGACTATTTGAATAAAACTCCTTTCCAAATCCAGTTTCTCTAATTTATCTCCAAGCATCACCTCAGACTGAAAACCTAGGAAAAAAATATGGGCACTAACCAGCTAGCTGATAGAATGTAACAGCCATGACGACTTTCAAGCATTTATCTGTCTCTCAGACTATGGCATAAATCTTCTAGGACCTCTGCAATCACCTACAGGGTTGATTTTGACTTGGGAACTATGAAATAAACCTGGTTTTTGAGACAAATGCTCTTTACACATCAAACCTTGGTTCATTTCACTTATTTTAAACTTATCAGTCACAGCCATACATACAGCTGTTCTCTCGTCACGTCTCCCATTCCTGCAGTGCACTGCTTGCACTGTCCTTTAGGAATGATGGTTTTCTTCCCTCTTCTGTACCTTTCATCAGCTTAAAGTATCTCCCTTTTGAAATACAATGCAAATGTGATACTCATAGATTATATTTTACATGTAAAGGTTGTGAATCAGCACTGTAGCAAGGTAGGTAAGAAACAAAACAACTATAGAACAGGATACCTGCAGGAAAATGAGGAAAAAATGTTTATTTACTCACCTAAAACAAAACAAAACAAAACAATAAAAATCCAGAACAAAACAGAAAAAAGCAAATAATGAAACATTTGGTCTTTAAAATTAATTTTCATTAAAATAAAATTGCATCGGGGTGGATTTTGAACTGTGTTGCCACTGCCCCTTACCTCTGAATTTTTGTCAAAAGGTGAAAAATGGTAAATAAAAATGAGCACTATACCCAGATTGTTATCCAAACATTACCTAATCTTAAAAATATTAGCTTTCTAGAGTTGCAGTAGCATTTCTGGGAGTTTTTGAAGGGCTTTGGGGGAGCTTGAAAAGTCATTACAAATTCCAATTGGCTCTAGCATCATCTTGCTCTTTTCAGTCTGTTCGTGTTTTATCTTTTTTTCTTTTTAATAGAATCTTCTGGCTTTTACTGTGACAGCAAATTCATAACAGTGTTTTCAAAAATATTATTTCAGTGACTCCTGAGAGGAGCAGGTTAGGCAAAGTACAAACCTCTCTGTTTTTCTATTTATATCTCCTAAAGCCAGGATCCTACACTGGTGACTGTAAGCCAGTCTTTTGCCTCTGATACTTCCTAGGTATGTTTACAGCCAGATTAAAAACATCTGCTGGACCAGGCAGATTTATCCACAGTTCAGCCAAAGCTCTTAATCAGATTCAATTTCCTCTTGTCCTGGTTCCTTTAACTCTCTTGAAGCTTCAACAATTCATCTCTTCCAAACCTGAAAACAACATCTCATTCCCAGATTCAAAACCTTTAGATCCATTTCTACATATGAAATATAAAAGCTTTTTGCACCTTCAAATGTCTCAGATCCACATAGAAAGTTTGTGTTTACTCCATATGTAGCCCCAATCAACATCAGATGGCAGACTGCTTTCTGTTCTCCTCCCTTATGTCAGTGATTAGACAATAATGTCCCAGTCTTCTTGCACCTATTGCCTGTAGTGTCATTGCCTTCACTTCAAATGATTTTGTCTACCTGACACCCTAAATCCTACCTAAAAATCCATTTTTCCTACCACTGCTTCAGTTCCACGGTCACAAATATAAGCTGGCCATGTTCAAGTTTATTATTTTTTATTTAAACTTTCTCATTCTGTTCAACTCTTCAACAGGTATTATCACCTAATTTTATTTCCCCCAACAAAAGTAGCTTTTCCTAGTGTCAGAGTGGAAGATATAGTCTATATTTGATTTCATTTGTAGTGATACCAAACCCTGTACAAAGAAACTGAAAGCTTAACTCCATGTAAGGGAAATAGATATTATTCTGTGCTAAAGAAAGAAAATTGTTGTTATTGAGTTCTTACAGTTTAATTGGAATTATTGTGACAATTGACATTCTTTCTTGAAGTTTTAGTTCTTAAAAGTAGTTGACTATATAAGAACCTTTCTTTTTTAAGATTTTGTTTCAGATGGAATTTGACAAGGAACTCAGATAAATCTTGTTTAGACAATGTGTGACTCCCACAGCTCAAAGCCAACAATATCTAACCTTTATGAGCATTAAAAATAGTTTGGAAACATGACCAGAATGCAGATGAAAGGCTTAGCAAGCAAAAAAGCAGAATAAATTAAAAAAAGAGTCAGATTTATTTGAAGGTATTTTTAGTTATGCTGATAATTTTGGTTGTGTGACTCATATCCTCGGACACCTTTGAGGTGATAATAAAGACGAGTACCTTCTGATTCAAGAAATCAGACACAACAAATCCATTCACTAAAACACCCAAACTGGATGCACACATGTCTGCAGTCTACAACAGCAGAATCATACAAATTTTAGATCCTGAAAACAAGCAGGCAAGCCCCAGCCTCTGGCCCTACTACTCTCCTACATGTTCCCACGCTACCTCAATGCTTCACAGAGGCTGACCTTCATCAGCGGCCCTGCTCAGAGCCCCAGCAGCCCCACCAGCACTCACCACCGGACGGTGCACATCCCAGAATGCTCGCTCCTGGCTGTCAAGAATCTTCCTCTCTATCTTGTCTCTCTTCTTGTCAACCCTGTCAGTGTTATAGGATATTTAAAAGAAACAGTGATGATGACAGCAATTTTAAACACACAAAGCATCCCATCACTTTTCCCTCCCTTCTCCCTTCAAAAATCATGCAAAACAAAAACCCCTCATCTCCAAAGGAACTTACTTTGCTTGTGCTTCAGCTTGCATAAAAATAAACTCCCATTTCCGAGCAAATGCTCGCTGTAGCCTGGCCAAACTCTCCTGAAAATACATCACAATTTTAGTGGGTTAGGTTGAAAGTTATTTGCTTTTAGCTTCTGGCTAATCTTTCTCTCCTCCTCCCCACCAAGATGTAATACAAGTCACGATATTTGTCTCAATGTAAATGTACTTTACTTATCTTATAAAGTTTTTGCTTGACACCAAATGAGATGGAATACTTTTCAATGCCTTGACTATTTTAGTTTTGAAACTCTGATAAAAAGGGTGGATGCAACTTCCAGCAAAACATGGGACTTCTGAAACATTTTTATAGAATAGGTGCTGGCTGAGCAATTTGAAATAATACAAAGAAACATTCTCGTTTTGGAAGTACCTAATACTGAAAGATGACAGCAGTAATTTCTATACTGGATGATCCACATAACAATTGCCATCAGTCATCTATACAAAGGGTTTCCCTTGAACAATTTTGGCTGCCATTTTTGGTAGTATGGAAATCTTCCAAACCTCCACGGTTATCCTCATTTAAAAAAATGCAGACTACAGTTCTTCACTACTGTAATCTTAGCAAAATTCTTTCCTCCATTGATGTTGGAACATTTTCACTGTCTGTAGCAGAGCTTTCCCAATCTCTTCCCAGCTTAAACATCAGCAGTGTTCAATCTATAACATGGAGGCTGAGATTCTTCTCTTCCACCAAAAAAGACCCCAGTTACCTTAATGCACTGCTTTCACTGAGACTAAACTAAAAGTGACTGTAAACTTCCTAATAAAAAAAAAGTGTTGTTTTTACAGTCCTTCTGTGCATTGCAAATGTATCTTTATGCCATACTTACTGAAAATAAAGCTACAGAGAGCGAAGAGGAGACTTTCTTGATCTTGTCAATACCATTAAGGTCTCTCAAGGATTAGATACTGAAGGGGAATTTTCTGAGGCATGTAAGCATAAAATTATGCATACCCTGCAGTGCAGTACACTGAAGAACAAGTCTGTGCCAGAAGAAGCAATAAAGTGCGTCAGCATGGTGCTGCAGCTGGAGTATGTGGTATGTGGAGAGACCTGGCCGACTATCCTGCTATTGGGTCACAGCAGCACAGCTGGACAGTTTTCAGTGCAGAGCCAGGGATGTTTGTGAATTTTATGCAGATATTCTCATAAAAAAATCAGGAACTTTTTGGGAGATAGAGATGGAATTCAAGACATCTCTCTCCTTATCAAATATCATCCTCATCAGCTGATCAAATTCCCTCTTTTTCAGGCTCTTCCTGGCCCCAATTATCTTACTTTGCCTGGGGCACAGCACAACCCTCAGAGAGTGGGAAGTGCCTCTAGTTTGACCCTCTTTGTCTCTCATCTAGCCAATGGGAAAGGGCTCAAGTGCCAGCATCACTTTATAGAATGAGATTTATATTTCTACATCTATCAAGTGCTTTTGGAAATGTTGTCAGAGATCCTTCATTCAAACCTTAAATGGTGTAGAGAACAATTGCTTTCAAACACTCATGGTGTATCTGGGATTTGTGAACAGTTACTTGTGATCCTGGCATGGTGATCTGACCAGAGTAATATTAGAGATGAACTGAAATCTCAGCTTTTGCCCACTTAGCCCTCAATACAGCCTCTCAAACACCATTCATAACTACTGAGCACTGTTAGACTCACATGCTGGAAAATGTGGATAACTAATAAATTTTCACACTTAGTGCCTGTAGTTCTCACGCTTAACATTATTTCCCAGGCTTATTAGGCCCAGCAGAGAAATTTACTTTTTTCCAAGTACTTACAGCTTCATAGTCTGCTAGCTCTAGCCTTGCTTTGTTTTGCATTGTCCGCTTGCAGAGGTAAACAGCTGGAACAGAATAAAATGACACAGAATTTTCTACTATCTCACAAACACATCAGAGGCTTCATCTCTGTTTTACTGCTAGATTTTTTTGTTTTGATTTATCCTTCTACTCGAAAAAGCTTTAAATATGGGATCAATGCTACCAGTATTGTAACAGAAATGATGGATCAGATACAAAGGTTCATTAAATAATAATAAAATCTGCTTTATGCAACAGACAGACATCATATGCAAAATGCATGAGATACTTGAGGTCAGGTTTTTTTAATGGCCAGGGAACTAGCACATTAAAGAAAAATAGCAAAAACATTTTAAAAACTGTATGTATAAGTCATAATGCGTAAGAGTTTTAGCAGGAGCTGCTGCTGTATTAGTCAAACATGGTTTTAAGAACATTAATACATGGTTTTATTTATTTTTATGCTATATTTAGTAATAGCAAACTTTCAACCTAAGAAGATTTTAGCTAAAAAATAATTCCAGAAAAAATTCATGTCTTATACAGATTAGTCTGCTATAACCAATTTTTAAAAATAGAAAATAATGAGACCAAAAAATGAAAAAAGCATATCATCTATTAAATATGAGAAAAAATATTCTTTCATTTATTTTCTAAATCCAAAAATCCTTCAGCAGACCTGTTCTGTCTCCACTTGATTCAGACAGAGCAGACTCTTTGCTAATAAAATGTTGAATTACATTTCCAATAGACTTTATTTAGCAACAAAGACTTCACAACAAGTCCAAATATTTTACAGCTTCACCCACCAGTAAGACAGTGAGTGCTGCACAATTCCTTATCATGCAACATTTACCCACTACACTGCTTCAGAGCACCTTCTCATGTGTGAGATGGAGGAATCTTTTATCAGTGTAGGTAAGAAAACCTTAACATATCTTTTGTCTCTACACTCAGTAAAAAGATACCATATTTACTGTTTGTGGTTAGGAATGTTCCTGCTTCCTGACTGCCAGCTTGTACACTACAGGAACAAAGAGAAATAACTTCACATAGGAACTTAACTCTTGCAATCACTAGGAAGAAGTGCTCATTTTAGATATAGCTTTGATTATTAATGTAGTCAAACCAATTATAAATTATAATTCCACAGAAATATTTATTTCTGACAAGTCACCTGCAAATGCATGCAAACCCACTCCAGTGAATGCCCTTTTAGTTAAATTGATTACAAATGCTTCTAAGAACTCTAGCTGCAGTTACAGGTGTTACTTGATGTAAAATTAAGTTATATTTTAATGCAATTTTTTTCTCTCCGTCTATTTTTGTGTGTGTTATCTGGTTTATTTTCTTTCATAATATTTCACTTTCCACTCTCATAAGAAGCCATGGTCTCTTTCTCTATTCCCTGCACTCCCATTTGCCCTCTTGTTCCAAAGCAGTTTCTGTGTCTGCAAAATCTACAAAGACAGATACACACCCATGTCACATATCAAGTATAGTAGACAGATTGTTTCTATAGCCTCAGTTTCCATGCATTTTAATATTAATATATACTTATACTAATGCATTAGCATGCATGCGGAAATGTTATAAAAAGATGAGAGGATGAATTTTGGACCTTTTGTACCTAGGTGGCATTCACAATCAGTACAGTGGTGAGAGACTCTTGAGGAGATAGATGATCTTTGTTATTTAACTGCTTTTACAGTGAAGCATTTTCCTCTCTTCCTTCATAATTGGTTATTTCATTGAACAAGAAAAAAAAATATCCCTAAACCCATTGAAAATATTAGCAATAAAATACATACTTAATGTAAATGTGTAGGCAATTCTGAGAAATTCAGGGGTCAAATTTTGTCTAGTCCAACCAGTCTAATATGGCTTGAGCAGAAATAAAACAAGATCCCTGCTCCTGCACTTGATTAAACCACATTCTCACAGTCCCAGTACAGGCACGTTTAGTTAAATAAATGCTTTCTTGAGCCCCACTGCAGGCAAATTTGGGGATTAGAATTTCCTGCTACCTTCAACAAAAATTGTTGCTGCAGGAGTGGCCAGCTGTCCATCTTTCTACCAGAATATGTTTTAACAAAAAATCATCTTCAGACAACACTGGTGAAACAACCACTAGGTCACCAGGAGCAGAAGAAAAGAATTAACTTGCCACACTATTAATTTGATACAGTGCCTAAGAAAACTCTTGCCTTCACTGTGTAGCTCTACTGCAGTATTTTCTCTGCAGGGTTCTTTTGATGACCCTCTTTGCTCTCAATCCATAGCAAATAGTCCATATAAGAATGTTTGGTTTTCATTAGCAGTGTAATTTTAGCCAAGACTCAAAAAATCATGTTCATTCCTTAGACCTTTTATTGATCTGAAATATCCAGATCTCCTCCCCTTCAGGAGCCTAGAGGTTACAACACCTGTGCCTTGGATTTTTTATCTCAGAAATGTTTCCATGTGCCACCATGGATAAGGCAAGGAAGATTTAGTATTGTGGGAAGTATGACATATCCACTAGTGTAGGAGAAAATAGTGCTAAAGGACATTCTTACTCTGCCTCATTATATTGTTATTGCTATGTGCTAACAATTACATCCTTGTAAAGGTGCATGTTTGAGGCTCTATATAGGAGCTAATTTTAGTGACATGAGAGGCTGGCAGCAGCTCAGGAATTTGAGTTCACCAGTTTACACTCTCATTGTCATATTCTTTGGCTTATCTGTAAGAAATTCACTAGCATGTTGGAAAGCAAGAAATGTGTGAAAATCATCCTCATTTTCATTCAGATCATTTGAAGATATAGAGTAATGAGGTTTAGTTCTTCTACTTTTAGGGCAATGAGATTTGAAATAGGGATACTCCCATCTTTCACAGGTACCACCCCTTTTCTGCACCAAATCGTGTGAAGTGACTGTTGTTACTTCACTGTGTCTTACTTCACTGTGTCCAGCAGCCTGACTTCGAGAATGTCAGTCAGTCTCTCAAAGCAGAGTCAGGAGTCTCCAGAAATTCAGCGAATGACAGTGTCTGCTTTTCTAATGCCATGTGTTGACAGTGGTTTTACAGCTTCATACAGAAGCATAACATGCAGGAAGGGTCTCCAACTCAAAGCTTCTCTATTTCTGTATATAGTTCTCTATTTCTGTATATAGTTCTCTATTTATCTACCCCCCAAAGGTCTTGGTCAGGGACCAGTACACCAATGAGCTGTAATTGCCCCAAGCAGCCCATTCTGGGGCTCCACTGAGGTCCCCTGTGCCCAGGAACTGTGTATAAGTCCAGCTACTTCCCCTGGCACAGGCTTGAGCTCTATCTCTAATCAGACATGTAACTTACCTGCCCTGTAACTTGCCCTAGCTTCCCAGCCTGACCTTGGACCTTCCTGGTCAATTGAGACTTTGTTGTTGAGGATCTTGCACTCACCTATACTATTGCCAACCTCAGTTCTTGCTTACCTTCCCTTGCAGAGTTTCCTGCTCCTTTTCCTCCCTGACAAGGGTGTTGAAAAATGCTTACCATGGGGATGAATGATATGCAATGAACAGGGTCTGAATTAATAATCTCAATTTGCTGAATATGGACTACCGTATACACTCTTATTTTTAGAGCCAGTGTATTCTGATGGATTTTGCAATCAACATAATTGCCTCTACTGAAGTGATTTATATATTAGATGCTATAGCTTGTGCTTTAGAAGTGACTGATTACCATGAGAAAGTAGATTGGCCAATAATTTTAAAGGCCATATTAATATGTAATATTTCATAATGAACGATGGTCAGTGATGTTTATAAATAGGCATTTGAACAACAAATCAGTACTAAAACACACTTCGGTACCTTTGCAGTAAATACAGACTACTCTATATTGAAAATTCTGCTCAGGCATTCACAAAATGTGGGCATTGTGAGAGTTTCAAGTGAGACTACAAAGTGTTTTAGTGAGAGTTGCATGAAGAGGATGCCTGTGTTTTCTCTCCTGCAAGTTTTTAACAGTTAAACCCCCAATCAGTTTAAACAGTTAGCCCCCAAATCAATCCATTTTCATGGGTAGCCACCTTTGTTTCCTATTCTTGACTATTCACTTGCACTTGAAAGCTCCTGAGAATCATAGAATCATAGAGTCAGCCAGGTTGGAAAAGACCTCCAAGATTATAAAATCCAATCCTTGGTCCAACACCACTGTGGTTACTAGACCATGGCACAAAGTGACACATCCAGTCTCATCTTATAAACCTTCAGGGACGGTGAATCCACCACCTCCCTGGGTAGCCCATTCCAATGTCTGATCACTCTCTCTGTAAAAACTTTTTTCCTAATATTCAACCTAAACCTCCCCTGGCACAGCTTAAGACCATGCCCTCTTGTCCTACGGTTGGTTGCCTGGGAGAAAAGACCGACCCCCACCTGGCTACGACCTCCCCTCAGGTAGTTGTAGAGAGTGATGATGGTCACCCCTGAGACTCCTCTTCTCCAGGCTAAACAACTCCAGCTCCCTCAGCCTCTCCTCATAGGACTTGTGTTCAAGTCCCCTCAGCAGTCTCATTGCTCTTCTTTGGAGCTGCTGCTCCAGCATCTCAATATCCTTCCTGAACTGAGGGGCCCAGAATAGGACACAGTAAGTACTCCAGGTACTCTAGATTTTTTTCTTTCAATAAGATCCTAGAGATTATGATAGGTTTCATTCTAGACTCCAGAAACTGGACTGAGTACACATTATTTTACACACCCCAGAACTTTCACCCAAGGCTTACACTGGGGAATTTTATCTTGTGACTAAATGGGCTAAACCTTCCATCTCACCACAGTGGAAAAAAAGCCACAGCTAAATTCGATGGAAGTACAACTGGGCCTCTGAAGACCGCAGATTATTCCACCTACACATCCACCACCACGTACACAAACTTAAACTCCTTACATAATTGTGCCAGTGGTGTTACAGCTTGATTCGCCCCAGCTGGTGGGTGTGCTTTCAGTGAAAGCACATTATCTCCACTGAGGCCAGAGTACATTTATAAACTCTCTGTGAGTCAAAATTC